ATTTTAGTTGTGTTATTATATATATATATATATATATATAAATAGAGAGAAAGAGAGAGATTTAGTTAAGTTGGAAAACAACATGCATAAACTGAACTGCTGGTCAGACAGTTGTAAAAATTGATATAAACAGTAGAAACCTTGCATTTGCAATAGTTTTGAGCTCTAAAATCATAAATTGATACAAAATCTTCATTTACAGTTGGAGTACACTCCCCTTTATACTGGTTGAAAAACAACAATGTGTTTTAATTAGCATGAGTCAACAGTCCCAATATTTTTTATGGCAATCAAGCATATCCTTTCAGATTTTTATATGTCTGATGTGATTTCTAGGAGCATTTGGCACCTGGAATACATTAATTTTATGCCCTGGTAAATCGCAACACAAAATGACATTGAATTATTTCAACAATTTCCTTTATCCTTCATGATGCTTCTTGTATGTAAATTAGATGTGATATCAAAGTTGGTCAAGTGAGAAATAGATGAAAATGTTTAGTATCAGGGTACACTAAATTGTTCTTTACTTGCTCAAGTTGTGAATTCATTAAAGTTATACAAGTGTGTTATACTGTAAAATGGATTTACCAGTTAACATGAAGATCTCACAGTAAACGAACTCAAACTGTTAAATAAAATTTTTTTATAGTAAATTCTAAAATATACTTGTTGGATCCTAAAGAAATTGATAGTTCAGAAAAAGCTTTTACAATACTAATAGAAGTGTAATTTGATAACAAAAACAATAAACACAGAAGAGCTACAGGAGTACATGTATTAGTCTATGATAACAAAGTTGTTTAATAAACAAGTTCTTTTCCATATCTCGCGAACAAGTGAAGCTGAGTAAGCTGAAGATAAATCCAGAAGGCCAAACCACTACTTGATAAAGTGTTTGAATATTTTTTTATTTTTATTAGTAGTAGGGAAAATAGAGATCTTAACCTATTCTTGCAAGATAATCGTACAATGTGTAAAATCATCCTTCTCTGTACCCCTTCGTATAGGTTAATATCCTTTCTTAGATCAGGAGACCTAAACTGTACACAGTATTTCAAGTGAGGTCTAATTAAAAAATTGTATAAATATCCTGAAATTACCTCCTTTGACTTGTGATCAATACATTTATAAAAACACCCTAAAATTCTATTGGTTTTTACCACTGTCAATAGAGCACTGCTTTGAAGGCCTGTGTGACTTAGTCACCACTGCTAGGATCCTTTTCTTTAGTTACGAGTTGGTTCCAATCCATATTAGATGCGTCATCCAAATTATGATAACACAAATGCTTTACCTTGCAATTACTGCAAATAAAGGTCATTTGCCAAACATATGTCCAACTTATCAATTGATTCAAGTCATTCTGTAATATCTCAATACAACTAGAAATGTTTAATGTCATCAGAAAACTTTACTAATATACAAATTATACCCCTATCAATATCAATAACAAACCTTGAAGTATTCTACTTACAAAAAAAGACCCAGTTTGACTGGACTCCATAATAACATTTTACTTTCTCCCAACCAGATACCCTAAAAATCCAATTAACTAGCTTTTTCCTCACCCCTACTGATAAAATTTTCTTAGCCTATCTTTTGTATAGCACTTTATCAACAGCTTTCTGAAACTAAGTTTAACAAATTCACACCATTTCCTTCATTCAGATAACATGTCCTTACAAAAATAAATTAGTAAGGCAAGATTTTTCTCTGGTGAATTCATATTAGCTTTCATTATCACCACATTTCACTAAATGATTTTGCAAAGCTACTTTTCCCACTATCTAGAATTTTCCCCATTACAGAAATAAAACTGGCCAATAACTTACAGGGAAAATCTTATCCTCCCCCTTAAAAATATGAGTAATATAAGCAGATCTCTTCAGACATCTACCCATGCTTGTATAACTATTATTTGACTTCCTTAAAAACCATGGGGAAAACCTCATCAGGATATGGTGCTTTACCTGTTTTTAATCTGTCAAACTTCCCATGAAGCACCAAAGGCTTAATATCTAGGTGGTTCAGATCAATTTCCATAATTTTCATAGAATGCTCAGCCAGGAATGTTTCCTCTTGTAAAAACAGAAGAATACCTTTCCATCACACATTATTTAAGGTTCCAACCTCCATTCTAACATTTTCCTAACCTTTACCATACTGTAAATGTTATAACCTATCTGTCAATTTTAGCTTCTTATACATAATGGTATTTACCCCTGATTTATTACTTTTTGCCATTGGTAAGCCAGTTAGCTTTGATCTTCCCTGTTAATTTTGTTGTTGTTTTATCTCTTTTTAGGAACATACCAATTTTGACATAAAAGCAATTTATTTGTAAATATTTCTGAAGTCTGTCCCACATATGATCACCTTTTAACTTACTTCTCCAATGCATTAATGATGAGTCTTGTGTGTAATGATATAATGTAGATAATGATAGTGTAATTCACAAAATGTGGGAGACTTTTAAGACACATTAATTGGGATTGTTTGAAGTCAAATAGCAAGGGAGGGAGATTTCTTGAAGTGATTCTTGGAGATTTTCTGTACCAAATGGTCAGAGAGCCAGCCATGGAAAATGCTGTTTTAGATTTATTGTTAACCAATAATTAGGATATGGTTGCAAGAGTTGAAGTAGGAGAACATTTGTGGAAGAGTGTTAATTGCATAACTTCACTTGATGTTTTGCTACATGTTGAGATAGAAATGAAATTTAATTTCCTAATATTCAGAATGCCAGTTTCAAGGCCACTGGAAGTTACTACCATGTCCTTATCCATAAACTGGTTACTAATAAACACATTTTACAACAAATAACATGTTACATCCTATACTCTAATTCAGAAGTTCAAGCTTATCTGAGATAGTAAGATAAAATATTATAAGGAGCAAATAAAAGATATTGTTTATAGAAGTTAGTAAAAATGTGACATCACCATGTGCTGAGCTGCAGTCTTTAATCACTTTACTACCAAGTTAAAAAGTTAGGTAGAGGGCATTAGCAGTGTTTGTTACTCTCTCTTAATAGTGCCATGTAGGTTCTAATTTACTAATGCCTAACAGATTTGCCACTAAGCACGTGGATGTCCCTTGTCTAGTAGTTAAGAGTCATATTGTATGATTTGTCTTTATACGTTAATAAACAGTTCATAGGATTTAAGTGTCATTGTCATTATTGAGCTAGCTGAGGCTAGTGTTGATGGCTTAGTCATACATGGAGTAGAACCAGATCACCATAAGTTATTATATCAGTATTCTTATTAGTAGCAACTCTGGTCTCATTATACAATTTCTCATTGACCTCTTCTGTCTGGTGGCCTATAAAAGTTACCAATTTAAAAACTTTCTACCTTTGAAACCCATGTTTGTAACCTATACAGATAACTCTTGACTACCATTTCTTAAATGAAGAGTCACCCCACCCCCTCTTTTAAAATGTCTTATCATGATTAAGTAACTTGTAAGCTGGAATTTACAAAAAAAGCCTATTTATTTCCCATTATATCACAGTTATCCATTGGTCCTATACTGATATATTTTGTTCTTAATACTCCTAAGATTAGAATAATAACAACTAAGTTTATTCTTGATCCTACTATGCTTATAATTAAATCTGATATTTATCTTTCAAAATATTATTTAACTTATACTCTAAACCTCTTTTTTCCAGAGTCCTCATTAACCTTGCTATTCTATCAATTAGCTTATTACCAGTTTTCCTCACTACTCTGAAGTTTAATTTAAACTATCTTTAATTGACATATTTACTTTCTCCAAACATCCTACTACCTAACCTGCATAAGTGGTGTCCATTTCTAGCACATAATTCATCCTTACCCTGAAAACAGGTCCAACCATCCCACCTGTTGCTTTAAGCATATCCATGATAATCTTTTATTTAAGTCTTGGATTCTGTGAAGTAATTTATTCCCACATGACTTGAGAGACCATTACCAAAAGAGCCACAAGTCTATTTCTATTACAATTTTTTCTTTCAAGACTACCTGTGATTTTCTGATGTGTAACATGACAGAGAGAGAAAAGAAGATTAAAATGAACATCCACACTTCCAAGAAATTCTCAAGCAGTCATTCATTCAATCATGAATACTGTTAAATAGATTTAAGTGTGTATTTTATGGAATATGCATAGAAATAATCACTAACTTTTTATGGAAAGTGAACAAAAATAATACAAGCTTATGACATACTATTTCTGATGAAATGTGCAAAAACATAATTACTGGTTGAAAATATATGATGGAATGTGAAGAGAAATAACACAGGTGAACAACATTTGTTGAATGTTCTGACAACTAATGTAATAAGTGGATCTCATTACTATTAGTAAAGCTAGACCTTACTATACCATCCAATATATAAGAATTTAATGACAACTATTACTTCAAAAAATTAATCAATTACAATTTTAGACTATAACAATGATTGAGCAATCACAGTTTCAATCTATAATGTATTCTAATCGTTATGAACTAAATTAGTAAATTAAAATTTATTTCATTCCAAACAGCATATGTGTTAATGTTATATGTAACAGAAAAGAAAAAAAGTACCAATTTTAATATGACTTTACTTAGAGAATATATTATGTTTTACACATTTGGAAAATATAACTGAACATAATTTTAAGCTTTGATTAGTCTTTACACTCTTTGGTACGATATCCTTTAACTATTCCATAGTTTTATTATCTGTTGAACTAAAACTTATACAGCACATGTAAGCAGACAAAATTAACTAAATGTGATTTTATCTGTCCTGTAAACTAATGTCACATTGTAACTAAAATGTGAATGAAACACTGATGTTCAAATTAACACTTTCTCAATTTTCTCTTCAAATAAGTAAACTAAGTCTTACATGATTTAATTTTCACTTTAGTAGTAAGACTAAATGATCATTGATTGCCTAGCAAACATTTTCATCCCAGTTAAAAACAGGAGTAACATTAGCACTCCTCCAGTCCTCTGGCACTGACCCCTTGTCTACTGACATACCAAAAATGAAACTCGTATCTGATATTTGACTTCTTCCTTTAAAACCCTGAGGAAAATTTTGTCTTGTCCCAGAGCTTTACCTATTTTTAATCTCAGAAGTAAGGTATTAGCTGTTGGTTCTGTTGAGTATCTATCTGAACTATATTTTCAGCTAAGTAAGTTGTTAACACTAAAATATCTTCTTTTTTTTGTTCTTTTTTTTAAACTTGTAGCAGTGTATTTTTTCTTTCTGTCATCCAAACACCCTACAATCCAATTAACTAATCTTTTCCCAACCCCTGCCAGTGTGATTGCTGTAGTTAATCTATTGTGTGGCACCCTTATCAAATGCTTTTTTATTTTAGATTTAAGTACATAAAGTTCACACCTTTACCATCATCCAAGTAAAAAGAAACATCTTTGAAACAAATTAAAATATTGTTTAGGAAACAATTCACTTAGGTGAATCTGTTTTGGATTTAATTTATGAATTATTTCAGTTAATAATTTTATAAAATTTATTTTATCAGACTCCTCAGTTATTAGTACAGCCCAGTCAAAGAGGAGTGCCTCAAGGATAGTGTTTGGGCCTTTGTTGTTTGTTTTTTTATAACTTACATTAATGATGAAAATACAATTTTCAGATGAAAGGAAAACTCTCGAGTGTTTCTTGCTGTATCAAAAATGTTGAGAGTACCTCTATTTTTTTTTTTAGAATTTCACCCCTGCATTTAGGCTATTCATAATTTGAATCACAGATATAGTATAAATGTGAACCAACTCAATAACATGATGAAAAAAGTATCTTGGCATAGTTAACAGACTTTTAGGATCTATTTACAGAAATACCAATTTCAAGTTAAAAAGAGGTAATTATCTGTTTACAAATCATAAAGTAGGCCTCACTTGGAATACTGTGTAAAGTTTTGGTTTCCTTATCTAGGAAAGAAAATCAACTTATTATAAAGGATTTAAAAGAAGGCTATTAATATAATTTTGGAGAAGGGTTATCTTATGCAAACAGGTTAATATTTCTTATCTTGAGAAATCATGGGTAATAATGAATTTCACTGAAGTTTACAAGATTATACAGCAGATTGATAGAATAAATCTCCAATTTCTTTATACTGATTTCTCAAAAATAAAAGAATGAAAAGATAAGATTCTAAGATTTGGAAAAGTGAGACTAAGTTACAGTTAAACAGTTTTAGTTTTCTAACAGGATGATTATGTCATGGAATGTTTTGTCTTCAGAAGTTGTGGAGGTTGGCATCAAGAATTTAAGAGAGGGAATAATGACTTCCTAAATAATAATGGGTGCCTTAATTTTTATTTTCTTTGGGGGTGGGGGATGCAGGTGTGCCTTGAAATGTCAAGTGGTTCCTTACTGTCTGCAAGTTATGTGACTTTCAAAAAGCATTTGATAATGCACCTCAAAAAGTTTAATATACGAGTACTTGCAGGATTGGGTGGAAAAGTTAGGAAATTGACACAAAATTGAGTAAGGAATGGAAAGTAAAAATAATGGTAAATAGTAACTTATTTTAAAGGAAGAATGTGACTATTGAAGTACCTCAGGTATCTACTTTAGAACTTTAATATTTATTAACATCAGTGACTTGAATATCTTTAGGAACATTAATATTCATAAATTCACCGATACTAAAATATTAGGTTAGACTTATTCAGTTAAAAATATTTGATGTATCCAAAAAAACCTCAACAATGAAAAATACAAAATATGGATGTTCAGTTAATGAGTTTTCATATTTGTGGTATGTAAATTGGGAAGGAACTTGCTTCTTGGGTGAATTGAGCATTGTGGAAAATAAAAAGGATTTAGCTGCTACTGTTGATAAAACCCCTACAACCCTCTGCTGTGTGTTGAGCTATGATGGAATTTGAAAAAGAGTACTTAAAAAATTCTTGATTCTGTTTATAGAAATTTCATTTCAAAAGGAATTGGGTTTTCTATAGATAGGATGTAATGAGGAAACACATATCCCATATATCAGTACAAGTTATTATTATTATTGTACACATACAGATGTGTAGAATAAATTTCCCCTTTTTTTTTCAAGGAATGACTTAAAACAAACACCTGGAAAGAACCTTACCCTCGAGGTTTATCTGTTTTTGATCTTTCTAGGACATACATTGTAAAGAAAATGTAATCGTTATTTTATAAATTAATTTGTATAATTTGATAAATAGAAATGAACACAAAATGCTAGCCTATAAATTATAATTATTTGAAAACGATTTAGGTACACGTGTAAAATTCATATACAAAAAAAAAAAAGAGTCATGTATAATTTTCTATAAATTCATTGTCGTGGTATGACGTCATTTAGTATGCTAGGCTTTCCTGGTCGACAAGTAGGATAACAAGCTCCACGTGAAGTTTTACTTTTAGTAAGCGATTTTTAGTCAAAGTTGTTGCCTGCGAAGAATGCCTTCAGCCTCTGCCAAACTCGAGAAACAAGCCTCAGTTGAGGCTTCAGATCCTGTCAAGCAAATTGTTACCGTATTGGAGAAGAAAGTTCGAAATTTAGAGAAAAGAAAGGTTAGATGTTTTTATAAATTATGTATTATCTGAACGTTGTTAAGGCTTGAAGTGTGTTTAGACTTAAGCCTAATATTAGGCCTAACATCTAGCTAAGGTTCACGAGTCGGTACTATTATTACAAATAATATTGGTATTACCGTTAGAAGTTAACAAAAATGTTAGCTTTTATATTTTCACTGCATCTTTTACAAAAGGACTTTTAATAAGTCTGTACGAATCCAAATTAGTTTGCACAATGTTTATAACGAATACTCAAATCATTCCATCAAATCTTTCAAACCATTAGGTTTTTGTTTTTGTAAATTTTAATTTTGTAATTTTTTTTTTCGTTTCAGTTATCACTTAACATTGTTCATTATTCGGCAACTTTAGCCTTAGTTAACGTGTTATTATGTGCCTCACTTAGTATAGGTATATGTTTTTATATTTCAAATTAATCAGCCATTCCCATTTACTTTATTAACTGACAACATTCCATAGCTGCGCTGGGAGGCCATATTTAAAATGTGTAAAAACAGCCTCGTTTACCATTAAAATGTACCATTTACAGTGAAATTTAGAAAACATTTCTGATGGGGCATTGTTCAGAACCACTTCACTAATGCTTCGCTATTCATTTCCTTTTTCGTCTGAATGTAGCACTTTTATAGCCTGCACCCTAAGTATAATATCATTTTCACTAAATATTTTTATAAAGCTCTTTTACCAGACTCTCTAGAATTCTTCCTGCACCAAAAGTAAAACTAACTAAGCTATAATTTCCAGAGTAGTTTTTATTATACCTTAAAAAAAAGAAGTAACATTAGCTAGTCTCCAATCTACAAAACTGACCTACCGAAAATGAAAGACGGAGACCCACATATTACATCTTTAACCTCATCTAAACCCTGCCCCCCCCCCAAACCGGCGGTGACTCAGCGGTAAGCTTGTGAACCTATGATGCTATAAATAGCGAAGGTCGAGATAAGTGGTGAGCATAGTAAATAGTCCATTGTGTATAATTGCACTTAAAAAACAAACCTCCATCTCCTCTCCTGCGACTACATGAACATCATAAACAAAAACATTTTCACCAAAGAAAAAAAACTTACCTTACGAAAAGGGTAACCTTTTTGAGGAGGCTAGTTGTCTGAATAATGGAAAGAGTGTGGGCTTTATTTATTTAGATTTTTGAAAAAGCTTGTGATAATATGTCACACAAAGGATAAACTAAGGACACAGCAACATATAATAAGCAATTAGTACTACTTCCCTTCTGGAAAACAATTCTAGAGAGTCTGAAAAAATAAGCTTTGCCAAGTCATTTAGTGAGGTGTGATA